ATATTCGTCGATTGTTACTAATATTAGATCACAATAATGTTGTTTGTGGATGTGCAAAGCATTGTAACTGCGAATTAGATTCAAATTAGTGCTAGTTTATGTGTGTCATCGTTTCTATTCGGATTTGTTTGAAAGTGATAATCGTAAAGGTTGCAGTTGAAAATATTTATCAGCAGTGATTGAAGCAGTGTTGTGCTTCAAGAGAAAAGGCAACACTCAGACGAAGATGTCGTTTGAGGCTCTTTACGAGAGTTGCTTCAAGAATATTGCCGTTGTAAGAGTGAGCAGCAGTGCCCCATCGAAAACATCCAGCAAAGGTTCGTTTGTTGGTGCAGATTGCGAATAAACCTGACAGTTGAATAGCATGAAAGTTAATTTAGTCCTACAGTATAAGATCAACTGAAGTGTGGAATCTTTTAAGAAACAAAAAGTGATTAGGCCGGTCCTTTGATCAGTCATATGTACTAATTTTTAAAAATATAACCTTCAAAAAGAGTCACAAATCACTTCTCTGCAACATTTGTTTCGAAAAAATATCATCAAAAATCTACGGTAATAATGCTGATCGTGAGAAAAATGTGAACAGTTGAGTATTTTAAAGATTTAGCCGAGTCAATTTGTGTGAGAACTTTTCGTAATTTATGAAGCAGTAATGGCATTCGTTGTTATGTCTTTAAGAAGAGCGTGCCATTACCGCGATCATTAAATGTTAATCATTAACTTATATTTAAGTCCGAAATGTTTTTTTTAAACGTGAATGAAAGCAGCCACAATAGATGCGCTGAACAGATGGCTGAAAGAGAAACATAAATTTTGAAGCAAATGTGAAATTATCTGCCCAATTTTTTGAGGGCTTTTGATAGCCGCTCTGCAATGAGATTCGTCATTTATGTGACCATCATCTAACCGGGTAGTTGAAATTTGAAATTTTCAAAGGAACAAAAAACAGTCATTATTGTAGTGAGTTTTTGGTGTTTATACGAAATTTGTGCACTGAAGAGGCGCGCGCCCTCTTCAAAACGATAATGTAATCTAATCAGCCAACGCTATTTTCACTTCTCTTCGTNAATTCTTCGAATAAATTCTTTTGAAAACATCCGCAATTCATCAAACCGGAATGAATTTACCATTCCATCGCCATAAATTAGGAAATGAATTTCAAAGATGACTTCTGAATATTTGATAGTAATAAAATTTTAAATGATACCCATCTTTGTGCTTCTTCGTGTCCCGCTTTTCCAACGTTTCAGCGTTTTATGGAGAAAGAAATAGTGTAAGACACCAAAACGCTGAAAGAGTGGAACATGTGAGAAGGTAGAAGCGGGTATGGTTTATAAAAAGTTATTATTATCAAATCTGAGTCAATATGCGCTTCATAAAAGAGACTTGAATTGGAATATTTTAAAGATTTATTCCCGATTTTAATGCAGTGAAATACTACCGGTAAAGTGTTAGCGGTACTCGATTGGGTTAGTCACAAATAAACAAACACATCAAAAATTCATATTTGAGCACAATTCAGTCTATTTTCTATTGAACAAATATTCCATGTACCCATTCACACATAACATTCGCATAAATTATTATTCCTATAATAATAAAAAAATCAATCATTGACCAACGATCAGTGGTTAATTTCAGCATTTCGATTCTGTTCATTTCTATTTTGTGGCACAACAAACAAAAATATGCGCATGCATATTTCACCACGGAAAATATTTTTTTTACCGAATGTGAATGAGTAATTTTGCGCGAACTCCATTTCAGCTGATCAGATACAAGCTTCCAAACTGTAAAATTCAATAGCTTTCTAATTGTTATATCATCAGATTTTTTGTTTTGCATCTTGCTGAAACGGTAAATATTATGAGCCAATGACTGAACATGTGTACTGAAACTGGATATTGGATGTTATTTAGGGAAGGAAGATGAAAATGAACTGATAACGTTGGACCATGTTATGATCAGTTCGAGATATGTTCTGTTCTATTTGATCAGTTCGAATAGCGGTCGTGCATCCGAATTGATTCAGCCGATAAAGCAAATGATTCAAGCGAGAAATTGTTTGGCTACGGAGAGTGCTAAAAAGTTAGTTGTTTCATTCTCGTTTTTGCATGTGATAGCATCACTTTTCCAGTGATGTTTATACTTTTTGTTTATTTCACTCACTGAATATTCTCTGAAAGAGTAAATTCTTTACGCATGCGAACCACAAACATCTCCCTTCGTCGTCTTCATGGAATGCTTCTATGAGTTTCCGATGTTGATTGATTTGTTCTTATTCCGTCTCCAATTCTAAAAAGGAATGAAATTTTGAAATCATCTTCCTTCTTTTTGTCCATAATCGATCCATGAATAAAGTGACTAAAGTCCACAATTGAAGTCGTCTGTCGCAATTGGCAAGAATATGTTCACAAAGTAATAATACAAACAAATTCATTATCATTTATAACTGCTAAGCTTCGTTTCTTATCAGCGCTTCCTTCTGTCTTCTCTCGATTTACCGCATTAATCTCTAAATAAAGATCATTCGAAGAGCGAGTGCAAAGAAAATGAAAATTTTCGCCTGTAAGTAATCCCGCATGTATCAGTCGTATCAAAACGCCATTCAAAGGGTTCAACTGCTGTGCAGATTTTTCGTGTTATTTTTCTTAAGTATTTATGAACAAAATATTCAAAAATAGAAATATGTGAAGCGTGAAAAACCTGGAATCAGCTGTTCAAAGGCAAGTGCATTTGGTCCTATCGAATCGTAATGATGTTGTTCCAAATCCTGTCATCAATATCAGTGTATAAATTTCGCCGTGTACTCTCAGAATATATGAATCACCACTTCATTTATCACCATTACCAATCGAACGCAAAAAATTATCCCCGAAAAAATGTAGAGTCGTCGAAGCAGAATCAAATCATGGTTCGAGTTGATTGAATTGCGGACTAATTTCATTAAATAGTGGCTCTTGAGAATATCTGTATTGCATTCGGGAGGATATTGCTAAATTTGGTTAGTGGTATTAAGCATGCGAACAGGTGGTCTAATTGACGTACTGAAGCCAATAAAGTGTAATTCATAAGGAGATTTCGGTTATATTTGAAAAGCATAATGCCTCTTTGTGCACTCGTTTTATTTCATTTCGAATCGACTCCCATAATCCTTTCAATCCAAATAATTATGTCTAATTCGGAAACGGTCGTTTCAAATTCTGAATTCCATATATATCTTCTATTGAACAATAAGGAGGAAGTGTTTCTATGGGTTTATTGTCAATGTTGTCTTTGTTCTCGTCAAAACTGTATTAATGAAATTATTTCAAGAAACTAACGCAGAGCTGATGATTTAATTCGAAAGTGTTAAAATTATTCCCTGAACAATATCAACTAAGAAGTAGTGAAATTGAGCTCATTGACTCTAAAAAAGTTCAGTATATTCAGAAAATCTAGCACTGTGAACAATTGAGTACTAGATTTTCTGAATCACTGATCTGAAACTGGATGAAATTGACGGTTTTGGTGAGTGAAAAAATATCCAGCGAGTTCGTTTTTTTTTCAAATAACTTTTCACAGTTTCCAAAATTATTGGTTTTCTATGCTAGGATTGTGAATATGAAATCGCCGGAACCTTAATTAATGGATTATCTGTAGTTGGAAAAGTACGCTTTGCAGCAGCCGGTGTATGAAAAATCTTCAATTATGAGGGATGATTTGCTTACAAAACATAAACACTGAATGATAATAGCGTGTTCATATTTATAAAAGTGCTGCACTTCTCCCCATAGCCCCGAACAATACTCATTTATTTTGCCTTTCCCGCCTTCTCAATCAGAACACTTCAATAGATATGGAGAGATCTTATTCAAATGATTAATGTTTTGTGAAATTTCAGTAATGACTCATAAGTTAACGTGTAATATTCATGAATTGATGACGTGAAGCACAGTTCATCACAAGCAATCCGTTCAGAAATGACAGAGCATTGATTTATTCGTGAATAAAAAATAAAAAATTGTCGCGAGATTAACAATTGGATTTCGTTGTAGTGACCGTTAGAGTCGTAATAATAATTGTGTTTCATAGTAACTGAAGGGATTCTTCTACAAAATGTGTTTGCTTGATGCAGTGGGTAGGATTGGAGGAAGAATGAAACCTATAATGGGCAGAAGGAGGGGAAAGATGGACATGGCGTAGCCGGGATTTTTTTGAGGTGAAGGTGCCAAATGGTTCGGTCCAAGGTAATAACTGAATTTTGGAATATATTTTTCTAAGTTTATTTTTTCTTTCTTCTCCCTTCCCTTTCATTTCCTCTGTTTTCACCCTTCTAACCTCTTTACCTTCTCTTTCCATTTCTTCCTCCTTTTGTTCCACCGTCTAGGTTTGTGTCATTATTAGTGCCATAAATCAAACCGAAGTGAGCATTACCAACAAAACAAAGACAAACCAATATTTTACGCTGTTTGATCGACGGATTGCTGAAATATAGAGTGTCAATCTTAGAGATGCTTTCCCAGTTCAACGGAACATTCCGTATCAGAGCCATACATATAATCTGATCCTGAATTGTGATATGTTAACCCGAAAAACACATCGTTTCTTCGCCATCCCTCTTTTCATAAACGTTTCTTATTGTTTCCTTTTTGATGGTATTAGGTACCAAAACGTCCGTTGGACGATATTAATATCCTGAGTGCTTTACACCAGCCCTGGGTGCAATATTCTCTGCTGAATTTTTACGTGCAATTGTTTTTAAATTATATGAACCAGAATCGTCGGGCATTTTAAAAATCGAAGAATAAATACTCTGAAGCCACGTTTGCACCGTATTCGCGTGCATAATTGCATCCAGCAATAAGTCGTAAGAAGTGAACGAAATCACAGAAGACATAGTGAACGCAGTAATGACTGAGGAGGTCATGAACAATTGATTTATTCACTTGTTGATGCATTTTCTGACACTTCTCACCTTATGTCACACACTGAGCTTCGAAAGTGAGGTGTAGATAACATCTACGTTATGTCGTCCATCATATTATAAGATAACGTGACAAACGTATTCAACTTCTGATGAGAAGAGCACGACTGAATCGACGAACTCTTTAGGGGCTGACCGGCCAATATATTCAACTACTTATTTGTGCAAATATGGGAAACATTCCCATTTTGTTACGTTCGTTCTAAATCCACAAAGAGCAAACATCTCAACTGATTGATTGTGCGATCTGTTCGGTTCATCCGAAGTGAATTGCAAAGCAAAACTGAATAAGACTTTGCATTGCATAATGCCATCCGAATATGATATTATGTAATTATTAAGAAAAAGAACATACTTGAAGAGCTGAACGGGATAGTTCAAATGTAGACCATAGGGGATATCGCCTTTGTATGTTCATCAGATTCTGTATAGCGGCGTGCACTTCGCATGCTTTCAAGTGCTTCGTTCAAAGTGTTGTTGAACAAAGGAATTAAACGTGCTGTTTGAGTGAATTTTGAATCGATTCATTTCATTAGATTTACATTCAAGCTTTTTGTTGTGATTGATTGAAAGATGAATACGCAGATATATTAAAGGGCATCGAATCTGCCCTTATTCGATGTTAAAAGCGACCGGTATGGCCACATTCAGCAATTCTTTGATGTTTACTCGTTTATGTTGTCCTTTTCCATTAGCGGTTCACTTCAAACAAGGTCGTCATTTCAATATGTTTCTTTTTGTTCATGTTATTTACCGATCGAAAAATCGCCTTTTGTATTTGCTCTCGATAATGACAGTGATAAAAGCGCTCCGATTCACCGCATATGTTCAAAACTCATCCGAATGGTGCAGATTCTTTTTTTTTTGGGATTAGAAAAGTTCAGTTGGAACGAAAGGCGAATAACAAATAAAATTTTATGAGATACAGAATGCAAACATAATTGAATGAATGATTTCTTGTTGCCGAGTTGTATAATCGAACTGGCTTGGTGCGAATGTTTGCATACAAGTTATGTGTAAAACTGACTACCAGCAAATCACAGGCGACTTCGCTTTAAGTCCCTTTGCTTTAAGGACTCTATTGTGTGAGCAAATCTGTTTAGTTGTTCATTAGAGAGTTTAGAACAAATTACGTTGATTGCTACGATTACAATCAATATGGTTGTCTTTTGTGTCACTTTGAATTGCTAAATGTAAACTTTCTTTTCGAGTGCTGTGTAAGTTGTCGAGAAATGCAACTAGAATTTTAGGTGCATTCGAAACTAGATCACATCCTACTAGAAACGTTTTGCAATCATAACAAGTCGAGAAGTAATCTCGAAACACGTTGACATTAGCACATCATTTTCGTAATCGCATAATTATATCCTCTTCTAAACGATAAATGAGTGTATTCATTCGCAGATCATCTCCAGAGAATTGAACACACTAACGGCAGTTCCTCACAAGCACAACAACACTTAAATGATAGGCATTCTTTTCGAGAGATTGTCACCCTGCCTTCCGTTGGGAGATGAGCTGGTTTTGAAGCGATCGCAGGCAGGCAGTCATGTGCATGTGATGTGTATAAGTTCATTAAGTGAATACGCATGTATTTCAGTTGCACTATAAGACTATAGAACACAGCAACTTGTCGGATTGATTTTTTGATTGAACGAAGAGCAGAACCAATTTTGCACATCGTAGATGGATTCAGTTAAGGAACTAACATAATAATAAACCGAGAAAGTCAATGTCTCACAATAAGAACGAAACTAAGGAAACAATGCATAGAAACATGTGAAACGTCACTCATCCACCATATTGCATTCCGTTACTCATTTGTATTTGGTAATATGATTGAAGTTAAATATATCAATGTCAGCACTATGCATCTCACTGATTTTTAGAGCGATTTGTGTTTCAATTTGTTATTATTCGTTTGTTTATGGTTTGAAGTTTCAGTTCGCCAGCACGTATTCGTCGACTGTTCGGAGTTGCGAAGAAAGGCAAAAAGAAGAAAGCGATTGAGCAGTGTGAGACGGCAGTTGTAGTTCTTGACGTTGATTCCAGAGATGACAGTTCACCGCAAACGACATTCGGTGAATCAGGATGGCACTTTTTTGCACCGATGAATTCAATGGCTAAGGTGTGTTTCTTTAATAATACACGGGCTTATACACGTTTCACTTTTCAAATCGTCTTTAATTATCCTCTAATCTGATCGAAACCACCAGTGGTGCCATTTCGAGCTGCTTCCGGTGGGAACTGATTTCATTTCTACGTAATCCTTACTTTTTCTTTTACATTGAGATTATTCTTGTTCTGTTGGAACAACATGATCCAATAATTGTAGCAAGAACAACATGATGCAATATTTCAAATGTTCGAGTAGTTTCTCGTGCTTTTCGACATTAATTTCTCATTTCATTTTATGCGAATAAAATTGTTCGTCTTATTCAGAGTCGTTTACTGCGTTCACTGCGTTACAATTCCACCCCATCCCTGATTGTTATTGAAACGGCTACACGTCAGATCATTACTACAGATGGACGACGTCTGATACATGACGATCCCAACGGGAACACTTTTCCTTGGTAAGCAATTTCCAATTAGTTGTTTGAATTATGGCAATCACTATTGTTATTGCTATTTTAACATCATTTTCAATAGTCGTGTTATTGTGTTCACTGTCTCTTGTTTACATGCATCGGTAATTCCAGTCGACTTAAAAACTTAGATTCCTTTCGAGTTCAGTCTACATTCATAAAAGTGATTCGAAAATATTTGCATTGTTCGATTGTGATTCGAATTGAACTTATTTGAATCACTCTAAACAGAATTATATTCACCGTTCAAGTGTTCAGCTCACTGCTAGTATTTTCGTTCGGATGTCGCTCTAAAAAATATAATTATGTGAATAGAAATTCAACAACTTGCAAGAAAGTGTTTGATAAATCTACATTGATATTAGAGTTTATCGCTCACTTCCGCTTATGACAATGTCCTCAAGATACCCAGTCAAATGGCAGTGATGAAATTCTACAGCAACAAATNAATTGTTGAACAAGTAATCTGATAGTCATATTTCTAGTGAATATGATACAATATTATGCAGTTGTTTGTTAGTTGTAAATTTCTTAATGACGATGATCATATTATGTAAACGTAAACATTGCGTTTATTTACATTCGATTGCATAAGTGCAATACACACCACCATAGCAGGTAACAGATTAAGAAAATTCAAAATGAGATGGTGTCAAATTTAGGGACAGCACACCATACAGGAACTATCTGTAAACACGTCTGTGCATGTGTCATATTTGTTTGAATACATAAATTGGCTATTCGAATATCACATATTGAACTACTTGCCTATGATGGATTGCAATAATCTATCATTCAAATGATACTTTCAAAATATATCACTGTTGAGAACACGAATGATACATCACTGTAAACGATGTGAGATATCATGTTTACAAAGGAATCGTCTCGTGGGGCCCATGTAAATGATGCGTGCAGTATATCTTCGTAACCGTAATTGTATTGCGTAACAGTAACGCAATAAATTCACACGGATTTGTGTGCTTTAACGAGATAGTGATGTGACATGGTTTTAAATATATCTGCAATACAGCTTGTTTCTGTATCATCATATTCAAGTGTTGACTAAGATTCAGAAAGCAAATTCGAATGTTTCTCTTTTGGTGCTCAAAATACGATGAGAACACATTTTTGAGAAATGACTGCGATATTCATACAGAATGTGCCACTTATTGAATGCTTGACATTCAGTAGTCATAGTGAAACTTCGATTGCTA